TCTAACATTAGTCGGAGACACAGTCTCACAAGAGAATTCCAAATTCTCTGGCTCTTACAATCCTTTAGTCTCTCCTCAGTGTCCCTTGAGCCTTAGGGACAAGAGTTGTTCTATAGCTGTAGCCATTGAGACTAGCTAGATTCCACAACTCTGCTTAGAATTGGTTTTGCTTTTTTGTAATGGTCTTAGCTTGTTGCAAATAAAGTTTTAGATGAGGGGTGAGGTCCACATTTACCTGTGGATATAAGGACAAATATTTAGATGTAGTTAGAGATTATGCTGTTTTAAAAAACTGGTGGTTGTAGGTTCTTCTCCAAGCTCCATAACTTCACTAACTCTAGGTAGCTGGCTAGGTTTCCAGCCATGATTTCCCTCTTGTTGAACAGATCTTAAGTCTAACTAGAGAACTGTTGGTGACCACCAAGGTATGTGTGTCACAACTGTACCCTTTGGGTTATTGTTCTATTCTGGTCATTGTTGTGGTTCATAGGCATCATAGCCAGATAGGACTACTGGTTGCTTCCCTTGCTTAGAAGCTTTCATGGTGCCTTCTGGTACTATTAAATCTTCTGGGAAGAGGCATTCAAATCAGTTACAGCTCAGTGGTCTCTGGGCCCTGTTTCTGAAGCGCATGGTGTTTTCAATACTAGGGGCTTTCCTTCTACTTGAGGGTGGGACCAAGGACAATAGAAATAATCTGTAATGTTTTGAAGTCTCTTCAACAATCCTGACCTACAACTCAAAAAAGGGCTTCTCATGGCTATTTTATTTTTGTTTTTATTTTTATTTTTGCTAGATGGTCTTTGGTTCTAGGTGGGAGCATTATCATCTTAGATAAAATAATTTCATTTAAACTATATATGTCTATTTATATACAGACTTCTGTGTATTATAGGTTTTCCTTTCAGGTAGATAATTTATAATATGATTCCTAATGACTTTTTCAGACATCCTTACTGTTGCTTTGTCCTTTCTCCATCTTCTATATTTATCTCCACCCCTTCTCTAATTAGAGACCCCCGTTTTCCATTTCCCCAGTCAAGTCCCTTGTACCCTGCTATTTCCCTTCCCTTCCCCCCTACTGACCACCCAGGCAATGGTCCCAATTTACTTTCCTGGTTTCTGTAGTTCATCTTGGATATGTACTCACATCTGAAGTTTTAGAGTCAGGAACCTTCAATGTAAAAGAATGCAGTCTGGGTTACCTCACTTAATTTGATCTTTTCTAGTCCCACATATTAACATGATACACTTTCTTTTTAATAAAATATTTTTAAAGTAAAATATTTTGTGCCTATCTCGAGTAGGCTGTGGGTGGGTGCAGTTTGACAATTGTTGATCATTTGCTCTCTATACATAATTAAAAGGATTTGACTTTTCTAAACTTTCAAAATGTGTGAGCATAATAGCCTTCCAGGAACTCAAAGTCAGTTGTTCTCTTTTGTATTCTATTCATATGACCACAGTAGAGAAGAATTTATTTTTAGAAAGAACTGGGAAATTAAATCTTATTTGTCAAGATCATATTGAAGAAGTTCTGTGGTTTTATTCTTCATCATGTGAAAACTTTTAGATTGCTATGTTCTTTTTTAAAATATATTTTTTAAGATTATATTATAATTACATCTTTTCCTCCTTTCCTTTCCTCCTTCTAGATCTTCATATGTATACCAGCCCTTTGTTTTCTTTCAAACTTATGCCCTCTTTTCTTTTTTCTTTCATTATTACACACATACACACACAGATACAAACACATACACACACTTCCATAAATATAACCTGCGTGGTCTGTGTAATGTTACTTATGTGTATTTTTTCAGGCCTGGCCATTTGGTTTTGGATAACCAATTGGTGTGCTCTTTCCTAGGGATGTAGGTGGAGTTTTTTGTTGGGACCACCAGCCTCAAATTTCCAAACAGAGACTTATTATTAATTATAAATGTTCGACTGATAGCTTAGGCTTGTTACTAACTAGCTCTTACATTTTAAATTAACCCCACTTCTATCCTTTTACTTGCTGCCACATGGTTCATGGCTTGTTACTTCATTTTGTACACATACTGCTTACTCTGCATCTGACTGATGCCTCACGAGACTCCTCTTTCTTCTTCCTAGTGTCTGGGTTCTTCCTAGACTTCCTCCTAGTCTGGCTTTCTTGCCCAATCTCTTCGTGCCTAGCTATAGACCAGTTATCTGTTTACTAGTCAATGAGAGTCATGCATATTTACAGTGTACAAAGATTGTTCCACAGCATGGGAAGGACTATTTCTCTTGCTCTCAGAATTCCTTAGTTACCTATAGTTAGTTCTTTGTCTAGAGTTTAGGCCTCCTGGACTTTTCCTATCTGTGTCAGCATGCCTATTGGTGTCATTATTGTTCAGCTCATGTTTAGGCAGTCATGTTGGTAAGACTTTATGGGTGTAGCTTCTGACATTCCTAAGAGACACAGTCTCATAGCAAAACTTCCCATTTCTCTTGCTTTTATAGTCTTTCTACTCTTTCTACAAAATGATCTCCTTTGCAGAAGTTGTGCCATAGATGTATCAGTTGGTTGTCGGGTCTATCTATCTATCTATCTATCTATCTATCTATCTATCTATCTACTATTTATCATGGTATCCATCTGTTGCAAAGAGAAGTTTCCTTCATGAGAGGTTAGGACTATACTTACTTTAGGAATAAGGATAAATATTTAGGATGTGGTTAGAAATTTTGCTGGTTTAGTAAGATGGAGGTTGTATTTTCTCCTCCAAGACTCATGACTTCACTAGCCCTGATAACCTAGGCAGGTTTCTAGTATCAGGCATGATTTCCCACCTTTTGAACAGGTCTTATGTCTAATTATAGAGCTCTTGTTTACACCCAAGGTATGCATGCCAGTGCCACTAATGTACTCTTAAGGTAGTTGTGCCTTGCTGGTAGTTGTGGTTCTTGCTGGATTTTTAACCTTAGCATTGTGGATTAGACATTAGGATTAGAATGGCTGGAAGACACAGTGTTGAGTAGTCACTGGTTGACCACATTAATTTTGCTGGTGAAAATCTTTATTTTATATTTTAAATTTAAGATTGTAGTTAGTCTTATATGAGCAAGGCATTGGAACTCCTTTATTGTCTTCAAGATAAATATCTAGCATATTCTTGAGTCTCAACCACACTGGTGCTTTGTACTCTCTTATTTTCATGAACTCTGAAAAAAAGAGCTTAATTAACATTATTTTAGAATCTTAATGGGCCAGAGAATTATTACTGAGTGGAAAACTACCTTTGCAAATGTAATAGCACAATACCTCCTCAAATGGAAATGTTTTGAATTACAATTTGCCAACCACTGCTGGAGTCTGGGAGTCTGGATAAGGGACAGAAAGGATTGTTTTTCATTTGATTTCTATGTAGCATAGACCTTTCAAAATCTGACTTACTTCCAAATCCAAGTATGTCTGCTCTTTTGTTCCTAGGGCTACTTCGCTGTGTGGCTTCAGGTTGCTACCTGAGCTACATGGTTCAGTTAATGATGAACATGGAAGTGGTAGCTTTTGAGAACTGAAATAAGAGGATATATCAGACTAGTGTGGACAAAAGGATTGCTTGGATATAGATCCCATCTGAAATGGAAAAAGAGGTTTCAAAGTACTCTGAGGCTGGAAGGACTGTGAAATAGATTCCAAGTATAATTGTAATGCTGATGACAGTACAGTTGGTGTCCAAGAACAGCAGCCCGGTAGAGGAGTGAAACAGCTGGAACACGGAGTTGTCATCTAAGTAATCAACAGATATGTTAGTGATTTCAAATGCTTACCAAAAAATGGAAGCCGGATCTGAAGTAAAAATTTGAGCTTTGGAACTTTCAGATTATCACCATTGATATCTTGGTTTTCATAAAGAGCTGCAGATTGGAATGATCACTTTGAGACTAGTTCGAGATGTAACTTTCCCAGTACTTGCCTACCTTATTAATCAGAGAAGACTGAATTCAACTCTTGCGTTTTGGTGTGTGTGTGTGTGTGTGTGTGTGTGTGTGTGTGTGTGTGTGTGTGTGTGTAGGTGCACATGCCTGCTTGTGAGTGTGTGTAAGCCACAGGTCAACACTGATGTACTCCTCCATTGTTCTTCACTTTACTCTCGGAGACAGGGTCTTTCACAGAACCAGGAACTTGTGGATTCAGCAAAACTCCCTGGTCCTGGAGCTTCAGGGACTCACCCACCTGTCTGCTTCCCCTGGGCTGGGCACATAGGCACACGGTGCACTACCTGGCTTTTGACATGTGAGATGGGGCCCTGACCTCAGGTCCTCAGGTTTGTGCAGTAAGCACTTACTGCACCTGTACTTAATTTTTTAATGAAATCCAGTATTATTTTTAGAGAATAATGTATATGATTATAGTATAGCTGTTGAAGATAACAGGCTATCCCAATGCCCATTTTCTGGTTTCAAATTATTCTGTTATAGATATGCAAACACATGCAAAAAATTAAATCAGTAGTTGTATCAGCTTTGTCTAGTTGTCTGATATTTCCCCCTACTAGAAAGAATGCTTACACAAGGTTTATGTGTTCATCAGAAATTCCTAGACTAAAAGGTTGTTTGCAACAACCCTTCAGGGCTGAGAAGTGTCACTAGAAAGGGCTTCCTACTGCATGCTTTATATACACCCACGTGGTCACAAGTTCTGAATCCCAAAGTTTGTCTTAGCAGCTGACTCACATTTCAGTTTGGAACGTGTCCAGGCACCTGCAGGATGAGTTAAAAGGAGACCTGGCGACATCTGCACAGGCATTCCAGTTCTACAACATGGGGAGTCATGTCAACAGTCATACAGGACTAAGACATGAATCACCTCATTTCTAATCTGCTGATAGCCAGTCGAATGAGAGAAGCAAGACTTTACAAAGTTCACATTTAGTTCTGTGTATATGTTTGCATATTTATGTTTTGTGAGGTTATATGAATCTAAGTGATTGGTTTTGTAATTAACTAGCCTTCTCTGTTTTATTTAACAGAAATCTTCTTGATAGAGACACGTTTTCTAAGTCTGATCCAAGTAAGTGAAATATTGCTTATTTTACTCAATGTTGCAAAAATTATGTGAAATTTACTATTTCTATTTGTATGCTTGCTTTTATAATGAGGAAAGACTTGGGCATTTATGGACAGAAAATCCTTGTGCCTGACTTGACAAGTGATAAGATTCTTCTTAACCCATAATCATTTATGTAAATTCTTTAGTCTTCATTTTTTAGGCTTTATCAATTAATAGAATACCTTACCTGTTTATGAACAGTGACAATGGGTTGTAGGTATTAATGCAAAATATGTTTGCCTCAGGTTGTCACTTCCGAGGTTGCTCTTAGCAATTTAAATATCCTCAAAATGGTTTACAAACCTTTCAAACCCTGATATTTGAAATTATCAAAGTATGGTTTTAAATTTCGTCTACATCTACAGTGTAATCTAAAAGAATTATCAAACAATGGTAATATTCTCTGTGTGCTAAAATATAGTTGTAATAAAATTTGAAGGTTGACATAGTTTGTTTTCTAATTCTTTGAAGTAATTTTAACAATTGAATAATTTTTTGGTGATTTTCTCGCAAGGATAAAACAGGGAATTAAGCATGTTGTTTTGATGTAACCTGTGGACAGTTGAAAGAGAAATCATGTACATTCACCTATGTGTGTGTTTTTTTCATCTTTTGTAGTTTGCGTCTTATATATACAAGCAGTTGGAAATAAAGAATGGAGAGAGGTAAGAGAAAAATGCTTTCAAAATCACTGTGCAGAGGCCACAGCATCTTTATCTTAGAGAAGCTGACCTGTTTTCAGTGATTTTAAGTCTTTCTTAACCTAAAGACTGAATTTCTCATTGTTTGATTTTATTGAATTTTCACTCATGAACTTCTCATGAAGTATTCCAGAGCTGAGACTTGCCCAGTTGACTTTATCCCTTCTGTACGTGATGTTTGTGGAGTTAATCTCACTTTCAGAAGTCAGTGGTTGAATTTTCATAAAGTGCCACACAAAAGGGTGCTTATTGTCAAATATCACCTGCTTTTTTTTAAAAAAATCAGTTGGTAACTTTTTGTTTGGAAATAAAATAGAAACTCAATTTCCTCACACAAATAGGCTTTGTTCAATGAGCAAAAGCAAAAAGTGTGGAAGATTTCAATGATCTTTTTTTCTAGAAAGTCTCCACATTTAGAGAGAAGATGAGCAGAGGCGGGGCCTTTCACTTTCCTGGTCTTTGCTGTTTTGTGTTTGTTTGTTTTAGAAAGGCAGCAGGTCATTTTAATGGGGTCACGGTATATGACTAGAGTTCCCTAATGCAGTTTTCCTACTTGTTGTCACAGACTGATTTCATTAGTCCCCTGATCAATTGTCTCAATGGTCAGGTAGCCAGTTAAGAATAGATCAATGTAGTTTATGCTCAACAGGAAATAAACAATTCAAATATTATAACTATTGGTAATGTTGGATTGTCAGTGTGATGCTGAACAGCGGTTTGTTTTCTTTTTTTGTATGTGTGTTTTAATAAGCTTTCATTATTATAATAAATACCCAACACAACTTACCTATAAAGAAAAAACAGTTTATTTTGAGTTGTGGTTTTAGAAGTTGTCTATGCTTAGTTAGTGCTCCTGCTTTGGTTGAGGTAATTACACAGTAGGAGATCAAGTTTCCCCATTGCTAGGAAGGTAAGGAGAGTGGGGAGGGCTGGGGCCATTGAAGGTCACACCTCCAGAGACTTCAGGACCTCCAGGCTGCACATCTTCCCAATAGTAACACTTTAGAAATCAATTCTTGAATGCATGACTTTTGGGTAATATTAAACTTATAGGATTCAGCCCCTGACTCCCCCTACTAGCAAATTTCACAGCTGTCTCAGAATGCACAACCCATTTACTCCACACATAAGAGTCATAAAACCTTAATTATTGCAGTGTTGCTTGAAAGAGTCTGTGGCACAGGCAAACTGAAGTGTGAGCCCTGAAAAGACAAGAGTCAGGACACACCCCAGACATAGTGGCAAATAGACACAGGGAGAATTCAGGCCATAGAAAGGAATTAGAGCAAAGCAAGGATGAAAGTCAGCAGGGAAGAATCCGTAAAATCCCAGTGTGACACCCTTTGCACACTGTCACCAGATGTGGCCTTAAGAGCTTGTGCAACCCTGCTCTCTATGGTCTTCTTGGTTGCAGTCCGTATGACCAGCCCCGTCCGCCACCTTTGCTTGTTGCCTGCGGTATTCCCAAGGAACACTGCATTTCTGCCTTCTAGAATTTCCATGGAAACTTCAGCTCCACACATTCACCTGTCAGGGGCTGCTTGCCAGGTATTCCTTTGAAATCTGCATGGGGACATTTATGACCCACTTTCAGGGCTTATATTCTGCCTGCCTGTAAGAATAGGAATATATAGAAGACACTGACTTTTACTTACAGCCTAAGCTACCTGGTCCCACTCAAACAGCACAATGAGCTCTTCATAGATGGCTAAACTTGGGGGAATGATCCCCTAGTACATCCTGGGTGAGTGAAGCATCCAAGAGCTCTCTCTCTCTCTCTTCTGACGTAAGTGTTCAAACCAAACTTATGTTCAGCCCTCTGGAGCTGTGGTTGGTGGGAGCTGAGGTGCTCACAGCATGTCTCTTCTCTTCTGCGTGAAGGGAATTTGCTTCCTTCCTGCTTCTGCTGGTCTCACTTACCTGGACTGTGCATGTGGTTCTTTTTCTAGACTTGCTGCAGAATTTCCCAGTCTTGCTGCTTCCTTTTCTTTGATCCAGATTCTTTCCTGAAATTTGACTAAAAGCAGCCAGTGATACTCACACTGAGAACTGTGTGCTTTGTTGTCTTGAAATTGACTGCCAGACAAACAAATCTATTACCTTCAAGTTCAAAGTACCATGGTGTCTTATAACACGGGTAAAATGCCTCAAATTGGTTGGTTGGTATGGTGTAAGAGGGAAGGCCTTTGGTCCATTTCCTGGTGGGATTCTACTTTCCAGGTGAAATGTCACCAGTAGAATGTTACTATCCATGTTCCTAGGTGCACTCAAACCCTGTACCAACCATATAGCTCTGCTTATAGAATTTCAGGCTTTTTCTAACTTGTTCCATCAGGCCTTCTGAATGGCTCCTGTGAGGTCCATAGGCTTGGCCAGGTTGTTAGCATACAACAGCAACAAAGACCACTCCACTTCCTGGTGCCAACATTCTATATTACCAACATCCTACTAGGAAAAATGCATGTTTGATATAATCATCATAGCAATACAAAAGTTTCATCTGACACTTGGGGAGATTTGAGTTCATCACTGGTTAACATTACTTCCTTGGCTGAAGTAGTATCCATTGGCAGAAGTGTGTAGTAATGCAGAGCTTTCCTGGTGGTGGCTTGAACGAGATGACCCCCATAGGCTCATATGGTCTTTCATATTTACCTCAAAATTACTCATATCTAAATGTCAAGTCATTAACATTTTCCCATGCCTGCTTTATAGTTTCTGTAATATGCCTAATAACATTTTTTTTTTCAATTGTCCTGATTTCTTCCCTAGAATCTCATCATCTAATCAGTCACCCAGAAGGGTGAATTCTCTTTCACAAAGTAAAGCAGAGCAATGACTTACTTATAGCTTCACTACTTTTTTTTATTCTCATCGTGTGTGTGTGTGTGTGCGCGCACAGGTATGTGTACCTGTGCATGAGGAGGCCACAAGTGGCCATCAGGTGTATTTATTGTTCTGACTGATACAGAAGCTTGCTACTTTGCCTAGACTAGTGAGCCCCTGGGACCTACTCTTGGCTCATAGTTCTGGGGTTAGGGCATGTGGGCACACCTGTTTTTTTTCTGTGTTTTCTGGAGACTTGCACTAGGATCTTCATGCTTGCACAAGTTCTTTTACCCAGTAAACCATCTCCCCAAACCTGACAAGTTGTCTTTTGTTTTCCTTGTTGCAATGTTCTCTCAAGTCTGGCTCTACTGTCTTGCATTCTTTTATTTGGTTATGCATTTGATCTTTCTAAAAATCCATGCAATTCCCAATCATTTGCTCTCAGCTCCCCTTTCCATGTCCGGCTCAATGAAGCATAGAACTCTTAATAGAACATAGGTGCCAGGCTCCATAGGGCTGAAGAGTGCTGTGCTTCAGTGACCAATAAAGAAAGCATGGTAAATGCAGAACCAGACACTTAGCCAGTGCTAGTTCGTAACAATGACACAGTCAGAATTCATCAGATAGGGGGAATTTGAGGAATGACGGTGTAAGATGCTCAGAACTGTACCAGAGTGTTCTTGTTGGATATTAATAAGCTAAACTCAAAGTTTCCCTTGGTTAAAAACAGTCTCATGATTTTTTTAATTGCCTAATTAGTGAAGTGAAATATTTTTTATATAATTTGCTAGCTCTTTTGCTATAACAATGGATCATGACTATATTAAGCCATTCCCACTTATTGGCTAATTGGATTTTTACAACAAACTTAAGAGGTATGGGCTATTATAATCACTGTAATAGGAAACAGAAGAACAAATGGATAAGAAATTTGACCAGTGACACTTGGTTATTAATCCAGAGTGGTGCTTTGAATCCTGGCTGTCTGGAATTGTTGGTATTAGATTACTTTTGTGGGCACAATTCTTATCCACTTCTAGCTATTATGTTCTGTTTTTATAAAGATAAAGAAATTTCATGTCATTGGGGGTGGGTTGTAATTATTTTTTAAGCTTGATTCTAAATAAGCAAAGAACAACAAAAACCGAAAACCGTATAGGAAACCAAGTCTTACTATTTAGGGAAGGTGGCATGTTTTTAAGATAAAATGCTGAGACGTAATAGAATATTCTGTTATTCTACTGTTTGTTTTTCAGAGAATAGAAAATGGTGGTTATAAAGACCACATTCAAAGGCAATGTGAAAACCATGATGAAATTGAGAAGGTATTGAAAAACAGGACCCAGAGCTGTCCTAAAGGGGGAGAAGCCATAGAAGAAAAACTGGGGGGCACTGGTTGTCTTAGCTTGCTTGTCTTTCTACAAAAGAACACCAAAGTTTAGATAAATTATGAGGAGAGTATTTATCTCTCCCTATTTTGGAGGCTATGAAGTTTAGTACTGACACTGAGGGGCCCATGTCTCGTGAAGCCTTGTTATCTTATTCAGTGATGGAAAGCTGAAGGGAAGGCGAGCCCTGTGCCAGGCTGGGGCTGGGCTGAACTCACAAAAGCATCCTTATCCCAGTGACCCATTTCCTCCATTAGGATCTGCTCGCCTGGAAGTGCCATGGCTTCATTAGGAGAGCAGCACACAGTAACCTGTTCAAAGCCCTCACTCAGCACTGCTGTATAGGGATGAGGTGGCCAACATGTGAAGTCCACTCCACTATAGATAGGCCTGAGAAGGTACTTTCAAAAGAGTTGACCGTGCTAACAGATGAGTGAGTGACGTGGAAGAACAGGGAGGAAGTGCAGATGGAGGAGCGATGTGTGCTGGAGCACTCAGCAACGTAAGGGACTTGCTGGGTGAAAAAAAAAAAAACCCGACAGAATAAACCCTATTTGATACTTAATCCCCATAGCAATTTTTACGGAAGATAGTTTCCTTAGCTTGAGAGGGAGATAAATGTATCCTTTACATTTTCCAGGGTAATGAGGTGCTTTAAGGCAGGTGCCTGGTTCTCTGATGACTCTACACATGTGTGAAATGAGGAAGGATTCCAGCTCCTACAGTTGTTCCAGTAATGAAATATTA